TAATTCAACTAATTCACAAAATTGATCAACCATCCACCATTTTCTTCAATGAGTTATTATCTCACAAGTGGTGAGGAGTCCCATACTAGAACCAAATAATCGTTCAATGCTTCCAAGTTTTCCATGATGGTCTAGCTTCAATTCAAATTTGAAAAATATTGAAATCTTTAAACAAAATCCCTTTTTAATCTTTAATGTTTTTCATTATTACTTACTTACTTACTTACGCCTGTTACCCCTCGTCGAGGAGCATAGGCCGCTCACCAGCATTCTCCATCCAACTCTGTCCTGAGCCTTCCTTTCCAGTTCTTTCCAGTTACTATTCAGCCTTTTCATATCTGCTTCTATTTCCCGGCGTAGTGTGTTCTTTGGCCTTCCTCTTTTCCGCTTCCCTTCCGGATTCCAAGTTAGGGATTGAGTCGTGATGCACATTGGTGATTTCCTCAATGTATGACCGATCCACTTCCAACGTCTTTTCCTTATTTCCTCTTTAGCTGGAAGCTGGTTTGTCCTCTCCCATAAAACGCTGTTGCTGATAGTATCCGGCCAATGGATGTTGAGTATTTTGCGTAGACAACTGTTTATAAATACTTGTACCTTCCTGATGATGGCCGTAGTAGTTCTCCACGTTTCAGCTCCATACAGTAGGACTGTCTTGACGTTCGTATTAAAGATTCTGACCATGAAATTGGTTGAGAGTTGTTTTGAGTTCCATATGTTCTTCAATTGTAGAAATGCTGCCTTTGCTTTGCCAATCCTTGCCTTTACATCTGCATCCGATCCTCCTTGTTTATCAACGATGCTCCCCAGGTAGTTGAATGTTTCCACCTCTTGCAGAGTTTCGCCATCAAGTGTGATTGGGTCGGTATTCTCCGTGTTGCATTTGAGAATCTTACTTTTTCCTTTGTGAATGTGGAGGCCTATCGATGCCGAGGCTGCTGCTACATTTGCTGTCTTCATCTGCATTTGTTCATGTGTATGAGAGAGGAGGGCTAGGTCATCTGCGAAGTCCAAATCATCTAATTGATTCTCCGCCTGTAGCTCTTCTAGAGTTACTGCCGGTCCCAAGCCCGGGTAAAGGAGGAGGGTTGGGCATGGGGTTAGCGACCCCATCCCGTAGAAAAGCTAACTCGCTAAAAAAACGCTAACCAGAAAAAATAATCCAAACCATTTTCATTATAACATTTATCTATTCACTATTATAAACAATTGAACTATATACCTCATTAAAGAAAGTATATATCAATTTAGAATGCTTTCAGGACAATTAATCTAAAGATTAAGTATAGTATACTTATGTATATCATGTGTGCTCTTTCTTTTCTTTTCTTTTCTTTTCTTTTCTTTTCTTTGGATATGATTGTTTAAAGTAAGAAATGATTGATTTTTTTTTTTTAATTTTAAAGGGTGACACCAATGTGAATTGTATTGATTTAATACAAGACAGAGAGATATATAGGTATACCGCCAATTAATGATTAAATGAAAATATTTATAGTTTAAAAATAAACACTTATAAACAATGATGAATAGTAACTAGGAATGGAATTCAAGACAAGAATTACTTCTTCTTATATAGGATCCGTCAAATGGATGTATCTGCATCTTAGAGTTGATGTTCCCTCAGGGACTTGAATCCAGTAATCGTTCGCTTCAAAAGTCATGATGTTATCCAATTAACTATTGAGTCCTAATAGCCATTTGTTTGTGTAATAGGGTAAAGTTTAAATTCACACACAAATCATTCGATACTATATTCTTATATATTATCACTAAGCAAATGACTTGAAGGGATGTTGATTCCAAATGAAAATGTTAGTATAACAGTATTCACTGAACGTATGAATATCTAGTAAAGTGCAACTTACTGATACATAAAGGATTAAACAATCAACAATTTTATCTATTATCAGAAGGGAGTTTTTTGTGGACATTTCAGTAATTTTATAGTTGAATTCATTAGTCGATTGTAGCTGTTGTGAGATAGTTATTCACTGAAGACAATGGTGAATGTGTCACACAATTTCGTGGATCGGTTGAAGTTAGACACTAACGTCGTTGGATACCGGTCGCCTAGTGGTCTAGAAGTTAGGCGTTCGCATGCGAGACTTACAGGTTCTTGGTTCGAATCCTGTGGGTGGTATCATGAATGAGCACTGCTGAAGAGTTCCACATTAGGACGAAACGACTATCCAGTGCTTCCAGGTTTTCCAAGGTGTTCTAGCTCCAATTGACTTATGAATTCAACTATAAAATTTTATCTATTATCTAGGAGTGGAATAAGTCTAAGCCATGTTGGTAGATGCAGACTACTTGGTTAGGGTCCGCTTGACTATCGTAACCAATGGTTGAAAACTCTGAGTGACATGGCTCAGAATCGTTCACAATGGTGCAGGTGAATACACTCTTTATCTTCCCTTAAACCTTGAAATAAAAATTGCTTCACATCGGTTTTTCTTCCTATACTATATCCTTATATACAATTTATCTTTTATATATTACCACCACTAAATTAACTATTTCTATGAATCCGGTGTTGATCTTGTTGTGCTAATGAGGTATGGCAACTTGGAACGATTCATATATGTGCCTGGTCCTGCGTTGTGACTGACTGACTGAGTAAGAAGTATAGTTAAAAATAATGCGTGCAGATCATATACAAAAGTACGGAGGTAGTTCTGTAGTGAACAGAACACTAGTTGGGGACAATCGAATGTATTTAAGCAAACATTACAGACTATCTCAATAAATCCTGATTACCAAACAATGAACAGTCAATTTGCAAATTAACAACCAGTTGTTTCAATCTTCACTATTTCTTCTCTTATTCCATTGCTCATGCATTTTCCAGACGTTTGCGTTTCATTTCAGTTCTTTCTTCATCGGTCTTCTGCCAAAATACATTCTATGCCTGACCCACACCATATACTACTTATATAGATATAAGTAAACCACACCACAGTTCTACAATAAGTACATTAGTCGATAGAATTCAATCAGTACTAAACTAAAGGATTAAACCAAAACGACATCAATAATCAGGAAATTGTAAACATCTCAGTCTTATAAGAAGTCAGTCGTGATCAAAATAACTTAGTTATAAAATCTAATTGTGAAACTGAGTGATGCGGGTTCGAAATCCCCAGGGAACAAGTATACTTTACTAATAAGTTATAATTAGTATACAACCTAGATTCACGGTTCCCTATCAACCACCCAATATATCAATATAGTGCATGCAATGTCGAGTCACTTAGATTAATGACCTTAATATAACTTCATTGATAGAATTCAATAGGCATCAATATATTAGACACTTTACCATCTAATAATTAACCAATGTTAGTACATTAATTTCATTTTCGTCAGTGTAATAAGAAGATAAAGATTATCAGAACTATACATTTCGAACAATCTGATTATATGCAATATACTTGTTAAGACCATTTATATATAAAAGGTTAACTAGATTAGAAATGCGGGGGGGGGTAAGAGAAGACCTGTATCATGAACTTTCCATCTATTTATAAGTTTAAGTAGATAACCATTCCCCATTAATGTCTTGTTTAACAACTTAGCATCATCATCATCAATAGTATCACTTGTGCATATACGATCAAGTCTGTTAAATAGGCACCTTATTAAAACGTATTTATATTGTACAGGACAATAACTATAATAACTAATATATTGGCCTGTCCATATTGGTTTTCTAAATATAGATTGTTTGATTGATTCAGTATATCCAAGATGGAAAGCTGATCGTTCTTTTCCTCTTTGCATGAGAGACTAATTTAGTTTTAAATAGAGGTAAGTTTATTCAATAAACAATTCATATTATACTTTCTTTCACAGACAACTAAAATATCGTTCACATATCTCTTATAAAGTGACATATTTTCGATTAAGTGAAATAAAATCTGCTCTCACATGTATATAGCCTTTGTCATGGAAATCCTACTCACTGCCTTCTCATACCACAGGTGTTGTTTACGAAATTGAGTGAACGAAAAGCGAATGTCTGGCGCGTTAACCGGGTTGGTGGACACGGAAAGTTCACCTAGGGGAGTTAGAAAACCATCAATGACATTATGCAAACAGCTCTGATGGATGTAAGTAATAGCGGTGTGGATATGTTGCCTGGAGAACGACTTCTCGACCTTGAGCATGCTGATGATATTGTCTTACTGTGCGATAATACTCAAGTCATGCAATTCGCACTTAATCAGTTGGCTATCAGTGTCCGCAGGTACGGCATGTGCTTTGCACCCTCCAAGTGCAAAGTACTCCTACAAGACTGGCAGGATTCTCATCCTGTACTCACCCTAGATGGTGAGCAGATTGAAGTAGTTGAGAAGTTCGTGTATCTAGGTATCTATATAAGTGCTGGTGGTGGCGTGAGTGATGAGATTGATGCACGTATAATGGAAGCCAGAGCGGCTTATGCCAATCTGGGCCATCTTTGGCGCCTTCGTGATGTTAGTCTGGCTGTAAAAGGTCGGATCTACAACGCGTCGGTGAGAGCAGTTTTGCTCTATGCTTGTGAAACCTGGCCTCTCCGAGTTGAGGATGTTAGACGTCTCTCTGTGTTCGATCATCGTTGTCTCCGAAGGATTGCAGACATATAGTGGCAACACCATGTTAGTAATCCAGAGGTTCGGCATCGTGTGTTCGGGCGCAGAGACGATAATTCAATTGGTCTCACCATCTTGAAACACCGACTTCCGTGACTTGGACATGTTCTACGAATGCCGTCCTAGAGAATTCCACGTCGTGCATTATTTGCCGACTCTGAGACTGGTTGTGAAAAGCGGAAAGGTGGTCAGTGTATGACATGGTATCGTGGTATGAAAGAAAGCTGCAAAGGGCTAGCTTCTATTGGTCCTTCACGACTCCCTAGCTCGGGTTCAAGAGATCGATGCACGTATAGTGAAAACCAGAGCGGCTTATGCTAACCTTCCTATCCTTTCTTCAAAACGTCAAATGAACACAATACCAGTTACTCATTAAACCATATATATATATATTTTATTACATTGACAACTTATATTAATAAAATGTAATGAGAATATATATTTAAAGGGAAACTGTTTGTGTTTGTTTTTTTGCTTGTTTGTTTTCGACATTAACACAGATATGTAATGATCAGATCATCATTATTATATAATAATGAATATACAAATTAGAATTATTGAATCAAAGTAACTGACGAAATTCATTTGTTACTATGGTAGAAACAAAAAAAAACAACCCAGAAGAAGAACAGAAGAGGATAAACAAGGGGATAACATAACACCGGAGAATATATATATAAATATATATCTACATACTTCCATTCAAACGTTCATAAATAGAGAGAGCGAGGAAAAAAAGAGAAAAAAGAAAAATTAAAAAAGAGAAAAAAGTAAAGAAAAATTAGAGAGAAAATTAAAAAAAAGAGAAAATGAAGAGAGATAAAAATTTTAAAAAAGAGAGAAAAGAAAAATTAAAAAAAAAGAGAAAAAAAATCTAAAAACAGAAAAAAGAAAAAAAGAAAAATCTAAAAACAGGAAAAAGAAAAAATTTAAAAAAGAGAAAAAAGAAAAGTTTAAAAAAGAAAAATTAAAAAAAAGAGAAAAACAACCATTTGAATAATGAAGTAAGTCAATAATTGAACCAATAACCATAAAAGAATAAACATTTAAAAAATGGAATGAAATTTTTTTTTAAAATATTTTTTTCTAGAATTAAAAAACAATTTTTTTTTCTTTCATACATGAAAAAAAAAATCAATTTTATAGCATAGAAACAAAAACCAAAAAAAAAAATTATAGATTTTCTATGGGAAAAAAATGAAGAAAAGAAAACTAACCCGTAGAATAGAACACAAAGAAGAAGAGAAAGAAGACAGGGGTGAGTAGAGTGTTTTTTTTTTCTTTCTTTCTCTCTGTTGAAGTTGTCCTTTTAAAGAAAACAACAACAAAAAACACAACTGAATGGACTAATAGAGAAAAACAGTATAGAAAAAACAAAGGAACCCAATGGATGAAGATATTCCTTATATTGTTCCTTGAAATGGAAGCATATATAAAGAGTAGTTAAGGAAAGCAACAGCAAAAACCAATGTGGTATTCATGATTTCTTTGTTTTAGTGTAAAACTCCGATATTATTTCAAAACAAACCAACACACACACACACATACAAACAAACAACTAAGTATCATTATAATGATGATAAATAGGGTTATTGTAAAGTAGATAGGTCAAAATAAGCAAGACTATATGTTGGTGTGTGTGTGTGTGTGAGCGTGTGCTTAAAATGAAAATACAGATCCTATATTAATGAATATACACAACACATATAACTCTTTTTTTTTTCTTTTGAGATGACCAACTTGAAATGAAGAAATCAATAATTGTTTCCATGGATTTTTAAAGAAGTTTACGATGTAGAACACGTGCACCTTCACTATCATATTCTCTTTTAGATATCCACATACGTTTAAATGTATCTAATGAAGCTAGAATAGAACCACCAATCCATGTAGAATATAAACGTTCTTGTGGTGCAGATATACGTAAATGTGCATCTTTTGGTGCTAAACGTTTTAATTCTAAAACAAGACGATCACCAAAACCTAAAATAAAGGAAATATATAAAAAGAAGATTATGATAATGTAACAATTTTAGTGGTTATGAATCATTGAAATGTAAAATTTTAATGGGTAGTAGTTACTGTTCACGAATAGTATTGTCAGTAGAAATCGTCATTTTATTTATTTGTGTGTGGGGCTGTGATACTGCACATGTGCCCAAACTGAAGCAGGTGGTTTGCTTAGGGGGCCACACCCAGAGCCTTTAACCTGAAGATCTGATCCACGTGAAAGTGGAGCATTGTGAGGAGATGTAGTCACATGGTAGCCGATGGCCAACAATTGGTTTATACGCCATTTGTTCCTTCAGGATACTGGAGCCCATGTACACCATTGAATTAGGGTTTTCCAACTCCCCTAGATGAACTTTCCGTGTCTATCAACCCGGTTAAAGCGTCGGACATTCACTTTTTGTCCTCTCAATTTCGTAAACAACAACTGTGGTGCGAGAAGGTAGTGAGTAGGACTTGTGTGGCAGAGGCTATATACGCGTGGCCATGTGAGAGCATTTGCAGAGGGAGAGTGTACTCTCCCCACTCTCGGCCGTACCAGGGCATTTGGGGTCATTGAATTGGACCATGTTCATAAGTGTAGACTGTGTGATTATCGCAATTAGTGGTTAAAGACTCTAAATGACATGACTCAAAATCATTTGCAGTAGTCCAGGTGTATTTATTCTCTGTCATCTTTCAAATTCTAAGCCTTTGAATCGCATCTTCGATGGTGAATTTTTTTTCTATTACCACTCATATTGTTACGATCGCTACTATTCTGAGATTTGACCTAACAACTTTATCTTGTTGTGCTGATGGGGTATGGTAACTTGGACTGATGTACAACATACTTACGAGGCCCTATGTAACGAATAACTGACTGAGTGAGGAGTGATAGTGCTTAAAACACTTGACTTGAAACCATCACATTATTTATTTTTGTGTCGGATTGGAGAGGATGTTTCAAAAAGATAAAACGTTTAAAGCTATTATGATAGCAGTTATTATAATTAAAAGGAGTGTTGTGGAGATTTAGCATTTTCATAGTTCAAAGCACAAAACCCCTTCTGATTATAATCATATGCTCACTAGTGACTGACTTCAAGAGATAATTCCTGGAGTTCCTGTGAGAAACACTGACCAGTGGAGCTCAAACTACATCTGTTGTGAGATAGGAACTCACTGAAGACAATTGGTGAACGGTTGCTCAAAAACATCATGGATTGGTTGAGGTTAGACATTAACACCATCGAATGCCGACCAGATCAGTGGTCTAGAGGTTAAGCGTTCAAGCGCCAGACTGATAGGTCTTGGGTTCAAATCTCGCGAGTGATGAACGGAATACATTTCAATGAAATAACACTTCAACTCATCTTTTTAGCAAAATTCATTTACAAAGCACACAGGTTGGTTTATACCCTCAGGGAGCTCATGAATTCTTACCTAACCACTTTAGCCTCTTAATAAGCTGAAGTGGACTGAAACTTGTTATAAACTTCAGTCTAATATGTATCCATTTAATCAGGCCATTGATTAAATAGAGTACGCTAATTACAAGTTTTCCCATGCTCCTATCAGACTAGTGACCTGTTCTGTGCTCTGGCGCGAGACTGGAAGGTTCTGGGTTGGAATCTCACGAGTGTGGGATCGTGGATTCGCACTGCTGAGGAGTCCCACAATAGCACGAAACGGCCATATAGTGCTTCCAGGTTTCCCCTGGTGGTCTACCTTCAATTGACTCATGCTTTCAATTGTGAAAATTATTTGGTTTGTAACTATTTTATATTGCCTTAGCAACAAGCGTTCATTTAACTTATTAACTATCGATATATGTTTTAATGTATTCAATAATTATCGTTTATCAATTATGCACCTCAATTATTCAATTTTGTATCAGTTACTAACTTTGTTGTCTACAAATTGCGATTTTTTGGTCGTTTTTGTTATTTGTATAGTTGAAAGCACGAGTCAATTGAAGCTATACTACCATGGAAAACCTGGAAGGCCGTTTCGTACTATTGTGGGACTCCTCAGCAGTGCGAATCCACGATCCCACACTCGTGAGATTCCAACCCAGAACCTTCCAGTCTCGCGCCAGAGCACAGAACAGGTCACTAGTCTGATAGGAGCATGGGAAAACTTGTAATTAGCGTACTCTATTTAATCAATGGCCTGATTAAATGGATACATATTAGACTGAAGTTTATAACAAGTTTCAGTCCACTTCAGCTTATTAAGAGGCTAAAGTGGTTAGGTAAGAATTCATGAGCTCCCTGAGGGTATAAACCAACCTGTGTGCTTTGTAAATGAATTTTGCTAAAAAGATGAGTTGAAGTGTTATTTCATTGAAATGTATTCCGTTCATCACAAATTAGTCTATCAGATAACAACCAAAACAAAGCAACGCAGAACCGGATACATACATGAATCGGTTCAAGTTACCACACCAAATCAGAAGATTTAGATGAATACCAAAGTGGTAATGTCAGTGATAGTACAAAAATAAAGTAGCGAGTATATGATTCCAGAAGTAAGAATTAATTTGCCAAATAAAAGGGATCTAAGAGGAGACAAAAAAGAGCACTTCTGAGCTATATCCCTAAAGGTCTTCTCCAAACACTGGTCACAAGAATCACACAGACCACAAAGAGATAGTCTGAACCTACTTGCATGGCTCAGATCAACAGTTAATGACTTTATGGACTGATGTCACACACTTTGGATTGATCGCTCCTACTTTTCTTTCAATCTATTCGTGCATAAGTATTATTCGGTAAAGATAGGTAGTAGCTAGACATACGCAACAAATGTCCTAACCACCTCAATGGGTGAAGATTTGCCACCTCGTAGACCGATTTGGCACCTTTGACAAGTACCATATATCTATACCTTATGCTCTCTTTTATTGGTTATATTTTTATTTATAAATTTCTCCGGATATCCGTTTTCTTTCAGGGTCGTGTACAATGCCTTTGTTTCATCTTCAACCGCATCCAGAGAGTATATGGTCTTGATTCTATGATGCAATGTCTTAATCAGGTTCCTTTTGTATTGTAGAGGAACAAAACTAAGAAAATTTGCATATTGGCCTGTTCAGGTAGTTTTCTTGTTTATGTTTCTTTTTAATGACCCGTCGTTTCTCCTTGCAAGTAGAGCATCTAGAAAAGCTATTCTATCTCCATTTTCCTCCTCACATGTAAATTTTAGGGACGGATGAATTGTATTGAATCACTAAGGTGTTTCTATCAAGTCAGTATGGTCGTTACAGAGGATAAACGTATCGTCCATGCATTCTTAACATTATGCTTTAATAGGTGTTCGTGGAGTGGTTTTAAAGCGGTTACTAACCACTTTGCTACAGTATGATAAGGGGAATCATAGATGCCCAAAATTGGTCTCAATGGGATATCCGGTTTGCGTACCTTCGGTAGTCCATACAACCTAGGTAAATGGATACCTATCAGCTTAATTGTATCATATATGTTTGGTGAAATCATCTGAACTGACCAGATCTTTAAAAAAGCTTAGAGATCAACTTAACTCAGTAACCAATTATACAGTTTCCTCTACCTGACTTCTAACTACACGTTTTATGTGAAGCCTAGTAGTACTATCCTGGGCTCGAACTTTCAACTAAACAGTTAAATATTTCCTGATACTGAATGAGATATATCAAACTACGTTTTTGTTTTACGAAGAATATCCAAACTAAATATGCTGAAATTTGGTGTTGCACAACATATTAAAAGTAATGCCTGTTCTGCACATACGGTATGAAACATCAAAAAATCGCTCACCTTTGAAAAGCGTCGAACCGCCTGAAAGTACAATATTCTCATACAACATACGTCTTAAATCCATATCGGATTTTTGAATGGCATAAGCTAATACCTGAAAACAGAACATTATAGATTTATATATGTGCACATTGATACATTCATAATAATATATTTCCAATGGATGAGCAACCTTATTGCAATCATGAACCGGTCTGGGTCAGACCACCATTGAAAACCTGGAGGACTATCTCGTCCTACTATTGGACTCCTTAGCGATGGGTATCCAGGGTGCAGGAATCAGACTCAGGACCTTTGGTTTCACACGCGAGCGTTTAACCTCTACACACTAGACATTAACACCGTTGGATGCCAACTCAGTGGTTTAGAGGTGAAGAATTCGCCCGCGAGACCGAAGGTCCTAGGTTCGAATCCATTCAGTGGGTGGGGAGTCGTAGACATATTATTTATTTATTTAAACACATATATATTGGTACAAAAGGGCACCAGGTACATAGGCGCCACACTATTGTGTGTCGTACACATACATTGCTAAGAAGTCCCATACTGGGGCAAAACGGCCGTTCAGTGCTTCCAGGTTCTTCATGCTGGTCCAACATAGATCATTTCATGATTGTAATGAAATTCAAGTTTCCACAACCCCTTACTGACATTTGAACAATCAATAATACTACTGATGAAATGAAACGATGTTCAGCTGAATAGTTGGTTCAACGAAGGTTGAAGATTTGAAGAAATCAATGGAACTTGGTAGTAAAGTATAAGGTTTTTAATAATAATTACTGTATGGGACATAGCGACACTATCTGACTTCATGAACGGAGTCAATATTCAAACCCATAACTTATAGATTGATTACAAAGTGAACACAACGATTTCGCTTTTTTTTTCGTTCGATAGATATTGTAATGTCAATTAATAACTTGGGTGTGAAAATCAGAAGTTAAGACAAAGAATAGTTGTTTGGGTGTTTAAAGAGAACGAATAACGGATATTTTTGACCAGTTTTTCTTCAGTACAAACTTTATTGACGGCTATTGTTAATGTGTTTTTGAAGTCATCTCTTTGAAACATAGGTTTAGATAGATCATATTGTAATGAATGCCTCCAAATGCCCCGGTACGGTCGAGAGTCCGCTCTCCCTCTCCAAATGCTTTCACATGGCCACGCGAATATATAGCATCTGTCAAGGAAGTCCTACTCACTGCCTTCTCGCATCACGGGTGTTGTTTACGAAATTGAGAGGACGGAAAGCGAATGTCCGGCAATTTAACCGGGTTGGTGGACACAGAAAGTTCACCTAGGGGAGTTGAAAAACCTTCATTCCAAACCAATGGTGCACATGGGCTCCAGTATCCTGAAGGAATAAATGGCGTATGAATCAATCGTTGGTCACCGTCTACCATGGAACTACATCTCCTTATGATACTCCACTGACTTGTGGATCAGATCTTTAGGTCAAAGGCTACGGGTGAGACCCCCTAAGAAAACCACCTGCTTCAGTTTGGGCATCTGGGCAGTATCACAGCCCTCACACAAATCAAATGAGATTTGTGAGACGCATATTTATCTGGTGCTTCCTTGTACCAATATTTATATGTTTAAATAAATAAATAAATTATAATGAATCACTGACGAGGTGAATGGGAACAAAACCACAGCTCTTTTTAAAATACCTATTGGAATTTCGGTGAAGTCTTGGAATGTGTCAAACTCATACTACATTTCCATAGTCAGTAAATGAATATCGTCTACATTTGCAAAAAGCTATGGAAGTAAGAAGTGAGGTCTAATGTAGCTTCATGAAAACATCCAGCTCATAATCATTATAAATCTGTTAGCTTGAGAAAACACTTACGAACTTTAAGTAAATGGACAATAATATACGCACCAGGTAAACTGTACTTCAGGTTATCAAAATGCAAATTAGTTCTATCCGACTGACTAGAAGATGTACTTGCATCGACTATTAGGGGTAAATCTTTAAAGATAGTCTTGACGTTTATATATTTATGTAAATCCTATGGCAGATGAGATAATTCTATGTATTGTGAAAGTCATAGTTGTCATCCTCTAGTTAGTCTGGTTGTAAAAGATTTTAAGTACAATATATTAGTGAGAGCAGTTTCGTTATTAATGAATCAGATTTGGCTACATTGAGAAGAGAATATGAGAAGAGTTTCTGTGTTCAGTCAGTCACAACGTAGAACTTCGTACGTACGTACATCAGTCCGAGTTGTCATACCATATTAACACAGAGATGCAATTGTCGATTCAAATCCCATAGTCGTAGAAGTAGTAAAAGTATAAGCATTATATGAAAGATTAGGGTTTGAAGATGTTGTTGAAGGAGTATAATCCAATGAAATAAATTTGGGAAGAGAAAAAAAGATAGAGGCATGAAGAGAAGAACAAAAAGAGTGGATGCACCTTTGCCATTGCAAACGATTTTGAGCCATGTCATTCAAGGTCTCTAGCCATCGAATGCTATCATCTCGCGAATTCCAACCAGGTAGTCTACACCTACCAACATGGCTCAGTCCACTTGTTAGTGACTTTATGGATTTGTGTCACGTTTTGGTCTGGCCACCCCAAGCTTTCTTCTAACCTACTCCTACACCATGAAACATCGCACATCGGGGCAGTCGGTGGTTGTGCATACGTAACACGTGTCCCAGCCATATCAACTGATGAAGTTTCATTGATTCACTAATCGATTTGCTATCCTTACATAGTACCCGTTTCCTAACAACTGCATTACTTACTCGGTGGTCCCAGGATATACGAGCAATGCTTCGAAGATACCTATGATCAAATACTAGTAGCCAACGAATATCCTCTACTCTTATTGGCCATCTTTCACTGCCATAAAGTAGGACAGAACGAACTGCTGCACAGTAAACCCGTCCTGTTCTTCCTAGACGGATATCTCGCCTACGCCATAAATGACGCAAGTTAGCGAAAGCTAGACGAACTTTCTGTATTCGTGCTGAGATTTCGTCATACACCAGACCACAAGGGCTGATGAGACTCCCAAGATAAGTGAAGCGGTCAACACGCTCAACTACTTCACTCCCTATCATTAGTTCAGGTGTCGATGCAACCTAATCCTTAAGCAACATTTTGAACTTTGAGAGGGAGAATCGCATCCCGAACATGCCTGCATAGTTGCTTATAGTGGTGGTGTTAGACAATAGTTGCCTGGGAATGAGTACTCATGTCTAATGATGCTAATGTATAGAGAAATCTAGAGTCTAAGAAAATGTATTTGAGCATAGTAATGACAATATTTTCTATAAGTAGAAGGCAGTTTACACATGTAATTCCAGAAGCTTCCATACTTCACATTATTAGAGAGACTATAATTTATGGACGGACCAATTAAATTTAAGATAACAGATCTTGGATTTTGACGCGAAATTCATTCATCCATTTGACATTTTAGCTGATGTCAGTTCGTGATGAAAACCTTAAATTTAATTCTTAATATTAACTATCAACTGTAAATCATAAACCTTAGAGACATTATCAGATATGGCTCAGAATAGAAGTCAATGACGATTCTGCTGTAACCTTCTTTTACTTTCTTCATAAAGAGTGTTTGTAACTTCCTTAACTGAGAGAGAGTTCTTCTGGTTGTACATTTCAGTTTCCCTCACCATTATCCTTTTATTTATATACATCTTACCCTTTTTTCTTCTTATTTTCATTGTTTTGTGTGGCGCATATTGTATCTGGTGCCCCCTTGCACCAATATTTATGTGTTTAAATAAATAATCCTTATTCTTCACATAGGTTCAGTATCCTCATATTAAGATCTAGTTAGGAGGTGAACATTCTCAAGGTTACTTTAATGTCACTCAAAGGTTGTGTCCATAAATTATAGTCTCACCAAAATCGATTTGGATTGTGTTTAAGCTGCTTTTTTCTTTAAAAAAAAGGTATACTATTTATGGTTATTTAAATGAAATACAATTATTTACTGGTGTATGATTTTCTTGTCGGGTTTATTTCTTGGTAGCCTGTTTTTATTGTATTGTGATGGAAAAGATGACAGTTAACCTGTAGCTCTGTATACGGTTTCAACTAATAGTTAATGAGTCAGTTAGTCACAACGTAGAACTTCGTATGTACATAAGTACATCAGTTCGAGTTGCCAAACCGCATTAGCACAGAGAATCAGTTGTCAATTCAAATCCCATAGTGGTAGAAGTAGTAAGAGCACAAGCAATAATGTGAAAGCTTAGGGTTTGAAGATGTTATTGAAGGAGTATAATCTGGTGAAATAAATTTGGAAAGAGAAAAAAGATAGGGACATGAAGAATTCAGAAGATTAGAATTTGACCATAGCCTAGTCTGGTCTAGATGACTTGATTGAGATGCTGCGGTGGGTTGTGCTCGAGTCATGGCTTAATGACAATAGTTAATGACCTCTGTTATGAAGTATAGTGTCCAAGATCTGATACTAATGCACCATGTCATATGTGTTAACCTTCATCTCCTGACTGACTATTGAGCACGAAGACAAAAGTGGAGGGGAAAGTCTATCGGGGTACCAAATTATATATATATATATATATATATATATATATATATATATATCCATTTCTCAAACAATGGAGTGTATTTATTATTGAGGGAAAGTGACTTTTTTTATTCTGCTACTTCTGATTGGTTTACTATATCAACTTCCTGAATGGAGACATCATTTAAATTGTTCGTAACACATAATCTAAATTTTAGATTACGGAAGGTATTGAATTCATACATACCGATAAGAGTTTATACAATTAATCAATCATAACACTAAAATTATTATTATCAGAAGGAGTTTTTGTGGAGATTTAGTATTTTCATAGTTGAAAGCGTGAGTCAATTGAAGAGATAGACCACTAGGGGGATAGGAACTCACTGAAGACAATTGGTGAACGGTTGCTCAACTTTGTGGATTGGTTGGAGTTAGACATAAACACCATCGGATGCCAGCTCAGTGATCTAGAGGTTAAGTGACCTGGCGCGAGACTGATAGGTCCTGGGTTCGAATCTCGTGAGGCGAGGTCGTGGATACGCACTGCTGAGGAACCCTACAATAGGACGAAACGACCGCCCGGTGCTTCCAGGTTTTCCTTGGTGGTCTAGCTTCAATTGACTCACGCTTGCAACTATAATAATACTCATACAAATTCTAAGTAAGAAACATGAAATGTTCGTGAAGAGTTAATTAAACTGATACCACCACCGATTATTTATTTAAACACATCAATATTGGTACAAGGAAGCACCAGATATATATGCGCCACACAAATCATTTGATTTGTGTGAGGGCTGGAATACTGTCAGAGTGCCCAAACCGAAGCAGACGGTTTTCTTAGGGGGGCATACCCCGAGCCTTTGACCTAAAGGTCTGATCCACAAGGTAGTGGAGCATCGTGAGGAAATGCAGTCACATGGTAGCCTGTGACCAACGATTGATTCATACGCCATTTGTTCCTTCAGGATACTGGAGCCCATGTGCACCATTGGTTTGGTGGACTTTCCGTGTCCACCAACCCGGTTAAAGCGCCGGACATTCGCTTTCCGTTCTCTCAATTTTGTAAACAACACCTCCGCCACTGTGTGAAGGCAGTTAGTAGGACTTCCCTGGAACAGGCTATATACACGTGGCCATGTGAGAGCATTTGGAGAGGGAGAGCGGACTATCCCCACTCTCGGCTGTACCAGGGCATTTGGGGGCACCACCACTGATAGTGTAACATACTTTTAAAAAAGTATAAAAAAACAATAAAAAAGAATTTATAAAATTATGAATCAATTTACTTGATGAATACCAAAATATTCTTGACCCATTAAATCTGGTCGAAATAATAATTCTGGTGCACGAAAACGTGCTGGACCAATTTCTAATGTAGAACCATCTGGTAATGGATATGAAGCTAAAGCTTCCATTGCTTCAACTTTACTTGGATTTAAACTAATGAAACATGCACGTTCCTAATTATTATTATTATTATCAAAAATGAAGAAAAGGGAAGAAAAAAAAATTAAACAAACTATTTAGGTGTATATTGTAAGCAAAGATGGATAGTGGTTAGCAGTGGAATCCAGGACGGGCGTCACTTCGTCCTATTTGACACTCGTCAGCTGGATGCACCTACATCTCAAACTTGTTGATGTTCACTCTGAGACTCGAACCACAAGTACCTTCCGATTCAAACAGCTAATACTAAATGAATATGTAGGTGTATATGTTCGTATTCTTGACTATGAACTAAATTCGATGTATGAAGGTTTAGCGATACTACTATGTTTACCTTAAACCGAAGTAAATGCATAGCAACTTGAATGTACAACTTATTGGTTGGAATTAGTGTAAATTGATTCAAATGCTTTATTAAAATACTACATATCATGAAAATTATATCAACTGGGAAGAATCAATGAAACTTAGGAATTTCTGTTATTGTCATAGACTAGATCTGTTCATAACACTGAACATAATTATAAGCAAAGACAGATGATGGTGGCTAGCAATGGGATGCAGGACACGCGTTTTGCCCTGTTTGGGACTCATCAACTGGATGTATCTGCATCCCACAGCTGATGTTCCCCCGGAACTCAAAACGAGTACCATTCGCTTCAAACGCCATTGCGTTATCCACTTAGCTACTGAGTCAGGACCAGAATTACTTTAGAAAATATCTAACGTCAACTGGGGATCAACAAACGTTTAAGTCACCCTATGAATAAATTATCCAGAATTTTACTGATATGAATTTCTCTTTTTACACATAAAACATTTTTGCTATCTCCATGCTCTAGTCTTGGTAAATTAATTGCAGTAATTACATATCCTGTAAAATATCATAATCATACAGATTAGTTGTTGTCTATTAACTCTTCGTGTACAACTTTAATTACTTACGCCTGTTAACCCTCGTGGAGGAGCATAGGTCGCCCACCACCATTCTCCATCCAACTATGTCATGGACAATCTCCTTTACAGTTGATATTCATCCCTTTCACGTCGACCTCGATGCAGTATGTTCCTTGCTCGTCCTCTTTTCCGTTTCCCTTCAGGATTACAAGTTAACACTTGCTTCGTGATACAGTTTGGTGATTTCCGAAATGTGTATCCTATCCACTTACATTGTCTTTTCCTAATGTTCTCTTAATTTGGAAGCTGGTTTGTTCTTTCCCACAGTAGGCTGTCGGTGATGGTATCCGGTCAATGGACATTGAGTATCTTGTGTAGACAATTCTTTATAAATACTTCTTTATAAATACTTGTTAAGACATTTTTATATGTTTTGGTGTTCGTATTAAAGATTCTGGCTTTGATATTGTTTGTCTTGAATTCCATATGTTTCTCAACTGTAGGAGTGCCGCCCTTGATTACCAGTCTTTGCCTTTATATCTGCATCAGGTCCTCCCTGTTCATTGATGATGCTGACCAGATACATGAAAGATTCCACATCTTCAAGAGTTTCTCCATCAAGTGTGATTAAGTTGGTGTTCTCCGTGTTGTAGTTGAGGATCTTGGTTTTGCCCTTGTGTATGTTGAGGCCTCTGCTACACTAGTTGTCTTCATCTGCATTTGTTCGTGTGTATAGGATAGAAGAGCTAGTTCATCTGCAAAGTCCAAACCGTCTAGTTTCATCCAACCTGTCCATTGTATTCCGTGTTTCTCCTCGAGATATGGATGTCTTCATAATCCAGTCAACCAGTAGAAGAAAGAGAGTAAACAGCCTTGTCTGACACCAGTTTTTCATGGAAGACAGTTTTGATTAATTGTTCAAATATTATAACACATTTCTCTATTGAATCACATACAACACTAATAGAATTTTGAGATGGTGGAGAAGATTTGTAGCTCAGGTGGGTGATTTTGATGGAGTTTTGTTCTCTGAGATGGATGGTTTGGTCGTGGAGCTTTCATTGTCCTTCAGAACACGACATCATCAGCACAAACTTCGGGTAGAAGTGAAGCGTTTGAATTTTTTCACATGTGATTCACAGCTTATCCTGTGCACCTCGATGTTGATTGGTTCTTATTAACTTTAAATCTGTCATTGTTTACTTCTTTGTTTTGGTTGTATCTCGTATTGGTTTGATTTTTGTTCCTAAGTTTGTGCTGATGATGTCGTTCAGAAGGACGATGAAAGCTTCATGACCAAACCATCCAACTCAGAGAACAAAACTTAATCAAACTCATAGAATTATTTGTCAGAATAAGAAATTAATTTTCTACAATTAAACTTCTATTCATTTATTTACCTTAATTTGGCGAACAATTTCAAATTCTGATGTTGTATGAAAATCAGCACCTTCTTTACGTAATAATAAACGTAAAAAACGTGTTACATCTCGACCAGCTAAATCTGTACGTTCGATAGCATGTGGAAGTGCATAACCTTCATAGATAGGTACAGCATGAGTTACACCATCGCCTGAATCTAATACAACACCTGTAGTTCGTCCAGTGGAATATCTGATTTTTATTATTTTTTTTAAACAGGAAAGAAAAGATAAGTTAATCTATACCTCACTTCTATTAATCGTAAAGGATCTGATTAATTTAAACAAGACATTAGTCATGTATTTATTACAAACAAGTAGTCGATAAAAACCAAGGTATGCCAAATAGGCGTTGTCGTATTTAGTATGGTTAGTGTAATGAATCTACAACCCAGTGATTTTAAATTATGTGCTTTAAAAGTTTGGTTGAAAGTCAAGTGGCATATTAATTTGGTTACTGAGTTGGATTGATAAATACATTCAGTACTGATCAAGGCCCCCAAATGCCCTGGTACAACCGAGAGTGGGGAGAGTACACTTTCCCTCTCGCAATGCTCTCACATGGCCACGCGTATATAGCCTCTTCCAGGGATGTCCTACTCAATGTCTTCTCGCACCACAGGCGTTGTTTATGAAATTGAGAGGACGAAAAGCGAATGTCCGGCGCTTTAACCGGGTTGGTGGACAAGGCGAGTCCACCTAGGGGAGTTGGAAAACCCTGATCCCAAACCAATGGTGCACATGGGCTCCAGTATCCTGAAGGAACAAATGGCGTATGAATCAATTGTTGATCACCGGCTACCATGGGACTGCATCTCCTCACGATGCTCCACTGACTTGTGGGTCAGACCTTTAGGTCAAAGGCTACGGGTGTGGCCCCCTAAGAAAACCACCTGCTTCAGTTTGGGAACCTGGGCAGTATTACAACCCTCACACAAATCAAATGAGATTTGTGTGGTGCATATGTATCTAGTGCTTTCTTGTACCAATATTTATGTGTTTAAATAAATAAATCAAGGACTGTTCCACCTAAAGTAGTATTGAAATGGGTTGATACAACGAAACTCTATTTTATCTACATAATTGAACAATTTAATAAGCGGATTATTATTTGATTACCCAGTTGGATTAGCCGATCACACATTGGGCCCACAAAGTACCAAGTCAACACTTAATACTGGAGTCATGGCTTAGGTTTAGTGATTGAAGCATTTGACTTTTAACCAATAAATCTCAAGTCTAAACTGTGTTACTTTATCTATCTCGGTTTAAGCGATCGGGTAGTATCACTAGCCCTTAGACCTAAATTGTGCTTCCAAACTGAATATATATCCACCACAAATGCCCTGGTACGTCCAAGGGTGGGGAGAGTCAGTTTTCACATAATCACGAGTATACAGCCACTGTTAGGGAAGTTTTACTCACTCCTTCTCGAGGTAGAGGTGTTACTTAAGAAATTGAGAGGACGGAAATCGAATTTACGGCACTTTAACCAGGTTGGTGGACACGGAGGGTTCACCTTGGGAAGTTGGAGAACCCTGGTTCCAAACCAATGGCTCACATGGGTTCCAGGCTCGTGAGGGAACAAATGGCGTATGAAAGAGTTGTTGGTCACCGGTTATCATTTATTTTTATTTATTTATTTAAACACATAAATATTGGTACAAGGAAGCACCAGATACATATGCGCCATACAAATCTCATTCGATTTGCTTGAGGGCTGTGATACTGCCCAGGTGCCCGAACTGAAGCAGGTGGTTTTCTTAGGGGCCCACACTCGGAGCCTTCGACCGAAAGATCTGATCCACAAGGCAGTGGAGCATCGTGAGGACATGCAGTCCCATGGTAGCCGGTGATCAACAATTGATTCATACGCCATTTGTTCCTTCAGGATACTGGAGCCCATGTGCACCATTGGTTTGGGATCAGGGTTTTCCAACTCCCCTAGGTGGACTCGCCTTGTCCACCAACCCGGTTAAAGCGCCGGACATTCGCTTTTCGTCCTCTCACTTTCGTAAACAACACCCCCGCCACGAGAAGGCAGTGAGTAGGACTTCCCTGGTAGAGGCTATATATTCGCTGTCCATATGAGAGCATTTCGAGAGGGAGTGGACTCTCCCCACTCTCGGCCGTACCAGGGCATTTGGGAACCGGTTATCATAGGACTGTATCTCCTTACGTTGGTCTACTGTCTTGTGGATTAGACCTTTAGGTCAAAGGTTCGGAGAGTGGCCTCCTAAGAAAACCGTCTGCTTCGGTTTGGGCACTCTGACAGTATTCCAGCCCTCACACAAACTGAATGATTTTGTGTGGCGCATATGTATTTGGTGCCTACTTGTACCAATATTTATGTTTGAATAAATAAATATACATTCAAACACCAGACCTGGATATTCAAGTCTGCAACTGAAGCCACGATATTTTTCGGATGAGCTTTGTGGTGAAAATCACTTTATTGGGGATAAAATTCGTTCTTTACTGCATCAGAACTGTAATTCTTCGAAGAGTGAGAATAAACAATGAACATACGTCTCCGAATAAGAAATCTGAATTTCCTAACTCCGTTAAATCAGACAGTTAATGAATTCCCAGTCAGTCAGTCAGCTACAACGTAGGACCAGGCACACTTATGCATCGGTCCAAGTTGCCATACCTCGTTAGCACAACAAGATGAACACCGAATTCATAGAAATAGTTAATTTAGTGGTGGTAGTATATAAAGAAAGGTTGTATATAAGGATATAGTATAGGAAGGAAGACAGATATGAAGCTATTTCATCTCAAGGTTTAAGGGAAGATAAAAAGTGTATACACCTACGCCATTGTGATCGATTCTGAGCCATGTCACACAGAGTCTCCAACCATTGGTTACTATGATCACGCGGATCCCAACCAAGTAGTCTGTACCTACCAACATGACTCAGACTAGAAGTTAGTGACTTAATGCTCTGATGCCACGTTTTGGTTTGGCCGTCCCCAACTCTATTCCAACCATCCCCATGAATTCCCAGACGGATGCAGTTGTCCTCAATCTTTAAAAGTCATGTTTTATAGCCACAACGCAACGAAGAACTGTATAGTACACTTGCCCTTTGATAGACAAACGAACAGCTTATCAGGAGCATAGGTGGGACATGTTAGGAGTTGGGAAAAGCCAAGTCAGCTTTTTTCGAGATTTTGTTTATTTAATCTCTATATTGATGAAAATTCAAAGGTAATCGAAGTGGCCAATTTACTCAACTATTACATCCTCTACGGTTAGGCTGGGCATAGACGCAGATTGTCCCTGAAGAGAAATTTTACATTCAGAAGGAGAGAAACGTATCCTAAACGCCTTTACTGTGGTTTCTGAAAACAACTGCATCTTTGGTCTTTACGTAACAAAATTAATCGTCTGCGTACACCAAGTTTATCCTACTTACCAAGTACAAGCCCATGTCCTCGCCTTTGAACCATACTATGGGTAAGGGTTAGTGGTACCATTTGTCTGTTCAAACTGGAGTGGGTAGGGGGAGTTGAACATGCAAATTAACGATTAAAAATATACGTGCTGCTGATTCACATCAAGTTATTGAGGGTTTATTTAGGTAAGAAACCAGGTGTTGAGGTTAGATGAAGAAAGTTATTTATAAAAGTACATCAGCGAAAAAACTAGACAAATCTGAGAAAGGTAGATTATCGTGGTGAGCACTACTTGATATAGTTTATTTGGATGATCGTTCGTCATGAATTCTAACCGAATAATAGTGCTCGAGTAAAGTCTTTAATAGGTTGATGTGGTTTTTGGGTGACAAACGATATCAGACTTGTCGACAGCGAAATAGTCACTGTTGGTACAAACTAGCAACATGTACACGTAACCAGCACAAAACTCAAATTGTAACTATCGTTTGAGTTTATCATTTGCCAATTAACGTAAGTAGAAAGAAAGTCAAGTTTAGAGACTTCTATTTAATATTTTCATAGTTGAAATCATGGGTCAATTGAAACTAGACCACCATCGAAAACCTGGAAGCACTGGACGGCCGTTTCGTCCTATTATGGGACTCCTCAGCAGTGTGCATCCACATTAACACCGTTGGATGCCGGCTCAGTGGTCTATCGGTTAAGGGTTCCGGCTCGAGACCGGTAGGTCCTGGGTTCGAATCTCGCGAGTGCGGGATCGTGAATGCGCACTGCTGAGGAGTCCCACAATAGGACGAAACGGCCGTCCAGTGCTTTTAGGTTTTCGATGGTGGTCTAGCTTCAATTGACCCATGATTTCAACTGTGAAAATACTAAATTCTCCACAAAACCCCCTCTGACTTCTATTTAAGTTTGATATTGTTGGTAGTTATTTTGAATAAAACTCTTATAGTGAAGCAACAATGTATCATGTAATCATCCATGTAAAATTGAAAACTTACAAACTTAATACCGCTTGCATTGAAATATAAAGCGCAGGGACACTAAAAGTTTCAAAGAATATTTCTGCCATTTTTTCTCTATTTCTTTTTGGATTATGTGGAGCTTCTGTCAATAAAACTGGATGTTCTTCACTATTGACCATCAATTGATCTTTGCCGTAAATATAAGCCCAAATACGTTCCATATCATTCCAATCACGAATAATACCATGTTCAATAGGATATCGTATACTTAATAAACCACGATGTTCTTCTGCTTTAGGACCAATAAAATCATCACCTTCAAGAGCACCTGCCATAACTCGAACATGTTTTGGACGGCCAATGCTTTAAAGAGAGAAGGAGGGGGACATCAGAGGTAAACTAATCAATTAACTTACTAATTTGGGAATCGGTACTTTGGTACTTGATCACCTGCGAAGCCTGCTTTCAATATACCTGTACCCTATAAGTAGAGAAATAATAAAAGTTCAATATGAACTTTTAGATAATATGAAATACATACAGGTGGTGGTCAGTTACTGAAATATGTGATACTGATTAAAGAAGATGGTTTTATGAATTATGATGCACATTAACGTGTTAATCAGAGTAATAGATAATAATATGTAGGTCTTCTATTTAACGGCTTCAATTAAGAGAGCAATAATGTTCTCACTGGTAAAATTTACAGAAAAGTGAATTTTTAGTTTGTTATTGATCAAATGCCTTCTCGTGGCGGGGGTGTTGTTTACGAAATTGAGAGGACGGAAAGCGAATGTCCGGCGCTTTAACCGGGTTGGTGGACACGGAAAGTTCACCTAGGGGAGATGGAAAACTGATTCAAAACCATTAGTGCACATGGGCTCTATTATCCTGAGGGAACAAATGGCGTATGAACCAATCATTGATCACCGGCTACCATGGGACTGCATCTCTTTACGATGCTCCACTGCCTAGTGGATCAGACCTTTATGTCAAAGGCTCGGGATGTGGCCCCCTAAGAAAACCACCTGTTACGGTTTGGGCATTTGGGCAGTATCACAGCCCCCACACAAATCAAATGAGATTTGTGTGGCGCATATATATCTTGTGCCCCTTAGTACTAATATCTATGTGTTCAAGTAAGTAGTGCTTTTTATGACGATGGAGGTCAATTATTCGACTTCATTGAAATGGAAAATACAGAGCTGTGTAAACTATTGGTTTTTAATCCAAGGATAAGAATATAGTGCAGTTCAATTCTTATTTTTGTCGTATGGCTGTAAGACAGGCATTCTGAGTTGAAAATGATGTTATTTGAACAAGACTGCTTTCGGATATTTTTTCTTACTCGGACAATGTGTGATGAGTCAAATTGCTACACAACTGAAAACCACACATAAAGATGGCGACACAAAATAAGTTAAAGTATGTTAGGAAGGGTTGGAGAGTGAATAACGTTAGGAGTGAGTAGGTATAAGCTAATTAATAATTCTCATTCCTCTAAAAGCTTTAATAGACAGCCTTCACGTTTCCTGATACAATATTTACATCGAAAGATTTCATTTCTTAATGTTTTCTTTTGGTTATTTTGGCCATTTTTCCAACCAAGCCGGGATTTACGCCAAAAACTGGTACATGTCCAACGATACAACTACATTTTGAATTGATAGGTGAAATTCAGTTTGGCAAACGAAAAAGGGTGAAAAATCATGGTGGTCTACTTCCATTATTGACTTGGATTTAGCGTCCTTTTGTTTATTGATACAGTGTATGCAGTAACCAATGGGGGATTAGTCTACCTTTGATTGCATCTGAACTGTTGGAACCTGCTATGCATCGTAAATTGTGCAAAACCTGACTTAGGGGAGCAGGTTAGGTAGTGGATTTACTGATTACATCTTTACTGTTCAAGGGGTGTCACAGTAATGTCGCACCTATTACAAACTCACGATCATTGTTTCTTGACAAGGCCTCCTCCGATTTATTGAACAAGATTATGTTCTAGAATTTTCCGTTGGAGGGTGTACCTGAGGAGTTTACCATCATCATGAAGGCTTCGAACACAAATAAAACAAAGAGAGCGAGGGCATACAACCGCCTATTCCCACTATTCCAGTCCAGGAGTGGGGTTAGAGAGGTCTATCCAACCTCACCATTCAACTAGACAATAGACATTATGGAGACAATTCTTAAGGAAGTACGTGGTTATGGTATGAATCTGTTTTATGGAGAATTTTCTACCTTGAGTATGAGGATGATATTCTTATTGTGTGCTCTCATTGCTATGCTAAAAGATATGGTAGCTTGGGCCGATGTACATACATACCAGGTTTTACGTTGTGACTTACTGACTATAACCCATTGCCAGCTCAGTGGTCTATCGGTTAAGGGCTTCGGCTCGTAACTGGTAGGTCCTGGGTTCGAATCTCGCTCGCGAGAGCGGGTTCGTGGATGCGCACTGCTGAGGAGTCCCATAGTAGGACGAAACGGCCGTCCAGTGCTTCCTGGTTTAGCCCCCAAATGCCCTGTAACGGCCGAGTGGGGAGAGTCCACTCCCTCTCGAAATGCTCTCATATGGACAGCGAATATATAGCCTCTACCAGGGAAGTCCTACTCACTGCCTTCTCGTGGCGGGGGTGTTGTTTACGAAAGTGAGAGGACGAAAAGCGAATGTCCGGCGCTTTAACCGGGTTGGTGGACACGGAGGGTCCACCTAGGGGAGTTGGAAAACCCTGATTCCAAACCAGTGGTGCACATGGGCTCCAGTATCCTGATGGAACGAATGGCGAATTAACCTGTTGTTGGTCAACGGCTACCATGGGACTGTATCTCCTCACAATGCTCCACTGCCTAGTGGATCAGACCTTTATGTCAAAGGCTCGGGATGTGGCCCCCTAAGAAAACCACCTGTTACGGTTTGGGCATTTGGGCAGTATCACAGCCCCCACACAAATCAAATGAGATTTGTGTGGCGCATATATATCTTGTGCCCCTTAGTACTAATATCTATGTGTTCAAGTAAGTAGTGCTTTTTATGACGATGGAGGTCAATTATTCGACTTCATTGAAATGGAAAATACAGAGCTGTGTAAACTATTGGTTTTTAATCCAAGGATAAGAATATAGTGCAGTTCAATTCTTATTTTTGTCGTATGGCTGTAAGACAGGCATTCTGAGTTGAAAATGATGTTATTTGAACAAGACTGCTTTCGGATATTTTTTCTTACTCGGACAATGTGTGATGAGTCAAATTGCTACACAACTGAAAACCACACATAAAGATGGCGACACAAAATAAGTTAAAGTATGTTAGGAAGGGTTGGAGAGTGAATAACGTTAGGAGTGAGTAGGTATAAGCTAATTAATAATTCTCATTCCTCTAAAAGCTTTAATAGACAGCCTTCACGTTTCCTGATACAATATTTACATCGAAAGATTTCATTTCTTAATGTTTTCTTTTGGTTATTTTGGCCATTTTTCCAACCAAGCCGGGATTTACGCCAAAAACTGGTACATGTCCAACGATACAACTACATTTTGAATTGATAGGTGAAATTCAGTTTGGCAAACGAAAAAGGGTGAAAAATCATGGTGGTCTACTTCCATTATTGACTTGGATTTAGCGTCCTTTTGTTTATTGATACAGTGTATGCAGTAACCAATGGGGGATTAGTCTACCTTTGATTGCATCTGAACTGTTGGAACCTGCTATGCATCGTAAATTGTGCAAAACCTGACTTAGGGGAGCAGGTTAGGTAGTGGATTTACTGATTACATCTTTACTGTTCAAGGGGTGTCACAGTAATGTCGCACCTATTACAAACTCACGATCATTGTTTCTTGACAAGGCCTCCTCCGATTTATTGAACAAGATTATGTTCTAGAATTTTCCGTTGGAGGGTGTACCTGAGGAGTTTACCATCATCATGAAGGCTTCGAACACAAATAAAACAAAGAGAGCGAGGGCATACAACCGCCTATTCCCACTATTCCAGTCCAGGAGTGGGGTTAGAGAGGTCTATCCAACCTCACCATTCAACTAGACAATAGACATTATGGAGACAATTCTTAAGGAAGTACGTGGTTATGGTATGAATCTGTTTTATGGAGAATTTTCTACCTTGAGTATGAGGATGATATTCTTATTGTGTGCTCTCATTGCTATGCTAAAAGATATGGTAGCTTGGGCCGATGTACATACATACCAGGTTTTACGTTGTGACTTACTGACTATAACCCATTGCCAGCTCAGTGGTCTATCGGTTAAGGGCTTCGGCTCGTAACTGGTAGGTCCTGGGTTCGAATCTCGCTCGCGAGAGCGGGTTCGTGGATGCGCACTGCTGAGGAGTCCCATAGTAGGACGAAACGGCCGTCCAGTGCTTCCTGGTTTAGCCCCCAAATGCCCTGTAACGGCCGAGTGGGGAGAGTCCACTCCCTCTCGAAATGCTCTCATATGGACAGCGAATATATAGCCTCTACCAGGGAAGTCCTACTCACTGCCTTCTCGTGGCGGGGGTGTTGTTTACGAAAGTGAGAGGACGAAAAGCGAATGTCCGGCGCTTTAACCGGGTTGGTGGACACGGAGGGTCCACCTAGGGGAGTTGGAAAACCCTGATTCCAAACCAGTGGTGCACATGGGCTCCAGTATCCTGATGGAACGAATGGCGAATTAACCTGTTGTTGGTCAACGGCTACCATGGGACTGTATCTCCTCACAATGCTCCACTGCCTTGTGGATTAGATCTTTCGATCAAAGGCTCCGGGTGTGGGCCCCTAAGAAAACCACCTGCTTCAGTTTGGGCACCTGGGCAGTATCACAGCCCTCAAGCAAATCGAATGAGATTTGTATGGCGCATATTTATCTAGTGCTTATTTGTACCAATATCTATGTGTTTAAATAAAATAAAAAATATCGATGGCACTGTTCGCTAGATTGGTGATGCATGTCTGGTTTGTTTTTACTTATGACATAAAAGTGGAAACAACTTATGGTTCATCGATGTTTAGTTAAATAAGTGATTTTAACAGTCTGGATATTAACAGGGACTTGTGAAGACATCTACATGCTTATTACTCTTTACAAAGTATCAGTACGATGGCATCTACAAAACGTGGAAGTTGTAAGTTCAAGTTTAGAGGACTCATTGACCAGAAGTTCAGAACTGCTTTAGAGGGTTATATTTTTGCTTTAGTTCTGCTGTAAATTCGCATTACATGAAGCACAAACTGAAAATATTTTGGGGAGAATGATAAGCTTGAAAATATGGTTACCTCTTACACTCGTGAAAGTTATGGGGGAGGATATAAAGCGGCTTTACGTAACTTTGGATTTTGTATATTAGCAACCGTCGTTATAGCTGCGTGTAGATTATTCACTGGTATATTTCACATTAAACTAATCGCTAAGTTTGATAGCTACTTCAAATATTATGGATCAAATATTGCTGGCGAAATCTGTTGCTTGTAATGGTGATTTGGCTAGGAAGGCTATACGTTTTTTTTTACCTTAAATGTAAATTCTACTTAGTAGAACTGAAATTTACTTCACTTTGACTACCAACAAGATGTCCATCAGGTCAAAATTAGTAAATAAATGGGGAGGAGAGAATTGAGCATAAAAATTGGTTTGACTCACTATATCTATAACGACAGGTTGGTTTGTTATAACATCATAGGAATCCATATCACAACAAGGTAGCGCACACAACCCAAAGTTAGCACTGTAATTATTCAATATACAGATATCACAGTCAATAATTTTTATATAAGTAGTATGAATAGTAGATTTTCTGACAAGTCTTAAATCTCTAACTTAGTATCTATGAAAAGACTAAGTTTCCTCCAAGAAGATCCATTGATTAGGTCAATGCTACTTGCTCCGGTGGCACATGTCAGTACCTAATATCGTTGTAATGAGCTGGTATAAACTGTTTAATTTCCCTGAACCCGATTCTCGTTGTTGTAGTACGGTTTTAGGTCTCTGGGTTGACCGCTTAGTGGAGAAAATGGTATTACTAGCTGAAACAACTCGATAGTGGTCCTTACACCCTTCTTATTTAGGAGACCATCGGTCTGTTTCGGTAGATTATCCCCCAATATAAATAGTCATGTAAGTCTTCGAAATCGATTCTGACCTCATTAGTTTTACTGGACACAACTATCTGAGAACACTCGATCACGCATCCACACCAGGCCAGGAGTGGGCACTGAGTGCGACGCATCTATTGCAACTGTTAACCAGCTTAGATCAAACGCTTCCCGACATATGGATAGCCTTCCAAATATATCCCCTCGATTTTAACTTTTGACTTGATTGGATTGGTATCTTTCGATTATAATGATGTTAAGTATAAAGGCTTCGTCAAACTTCGAGTACATGTAGAATCTTTAGGTCGTAGAGGAACAAACGTATTATGCTATTGAGATGTGGAATGCCAGTATAACCATAATTAACTTACTTAAGTACATGGTCTTGTAAATATTATATGTATGGGGGCGGATTTATATTAGTTTGTGAATTATGGCGTGCCGTCACGGCTTCATCATCTTTTAAACTCACAAAGAGTAAATGTTCTTCAGATACGCTGAAGATTTGTGTTTGAATCGAAAGTCATTTTCTTGTGGACCAATAGGAATCTACTGGTGACAGCAGTTCACATACAAATACTGAACACGCGTATTGGTCTGCTGATATTTCTTAGGGATGAAATTGTCGTTGTTTACGATTTATACTGCTGACGAATCATACCGTTGTCTGTATTAATTGGAAACACTGGTATCTAGTAGGAAGAAATTAGTGGTGGTTCCCCAAATATATGCTCGAAGCACTCTACAGTTCCCTCAAGTGCTAACTTCCTGAGTTCCTTGGGAGAAAGAAACTGATGAGTACCGTGTCCCGTGACTTCAAGTGTCTGAGGTTACAATCTTGTTTTGGGTTTTTGTTTGACTTTGCGATTACTAGCAAATAAGTCCCTACTGGGCCTAAGTTATACCTCCAAGGTAATTCCACTTTCCATATCAAGTGTTTGTTCACTTATTGAATCATCGGTAGTATCAAAAATACTTTTACAGTTACAGAAACAATTTATGATCGTCCATTTTATTGACTAAAAATTCACTTCAACAAGATGCGTAGCATTAGATTCGTTGTGAACATCACAGCCATCACTGTTTTTGTTAGATGTCCCCTGGGACACTGATATGACTGTTTTACGCATGGGATTGTCACACACTATTATACAATTGATTAGTGACTCATATATCACTTCTTAAGCATTCATGGATTGAGAATTTAATACGATGATGATCAGCATGTAAATTAATTAGTTAATAACCATTTCAAATGTCTAGGAATGATGAAGCTTATGACACTCTATAATCTTCAGAATGTGGATTATTTTGAAGAGAACACAACTGTTGGAATGGCGTATAACGACTCAATTTCAAGCACTTGGTGTAAAGGAGGAGAACGACTAAACTAAACGGATATTTAATCAGTCAAGCCAGACTGTTGTTTTTTTTGTGTCGAACACGAAGCTCTTTTGGGCTACTTTCACCGATTATATCAGAATACATTTTGTAAGTAATCTACGAGGTACTCATGCGGCTTGTTAAGCAAAGCGGTTTGGAGTGAAGAATAGCTGTTTAAGTTACACTATATCGGTCAGTCGAGAACAAAATAAATTAATTGAGTAAATGATAGTTCCAAAAAAATTATTACCGCATAGTTATTCAACCAACAATTGTTCAATCAGTATTCGAATCAAGTGCAAAAAACGAATGTTCCTATCATAATCCTTACATGTAAAACAGGCCACTTGGAAACCTTCAATCATGGTCAGTCCTACCATATAATAGACACTACAGGAAAAAGTAGGACTTACAGGAGTACGTCTACCCCGTCCTATCTGCACTTATATAAGAGGAAACTACCAAACCTTTAAAGGAGGCATATCTCACATATCTCTTCTAACTGCTCAATTCTTCGTACGAATTTTTGCTGTCTTAACCACTCCGTCGCCACCTCCTTCACAGCTTTCCGTCACTCCTAAGGGCAACCTTACACACGTCGAAACATCTAAAGCCCTTATCACTACATCTCCTTTCCGGAGACTGAGATGTTCAATCGGCCATTTCTGATATGTCTGTAGCACATCATCTAAATAATTAACTTCTTTCCAACGCCTGTCATACTTATTTATGATGTCACCCTTTTCGACTATACCTTCACTATCCCTTAATAACAGCGAACTATTTGGGGATGAAGCTAGTTTATCGTCAGTGTTCTGGATAACCGTGGTTAAGGGTAGATTGTTTAATATCTTATTAAATTCAATTAAATAAGCGACCAAGGTCCCCTGTTCCCTGGTGATCAATATTAACAGCCAGAATACAGATCTAACCATCCTTTCCCATATTTCACTCCTGTGGCTGGATGAGGGCGGGTTGAAATGTTATTGGACCCGCTTCATTGTTATTTCGATTTGTGCTATTCTAGACGCGTCAGATAAGAGAAACAAGACACGGCGATCTCTGTAAGTAGATAACCCGAGGGTAGGTAACTACTCATTAACCGATCTTCAATGCATCACTGTATAAATTTAGTTATACCTTGCCGTTGGTTCAGTGATATTTATTCCTGATCCATGGAGACGCTGTAACATGATTCGTCTGACTCATGAAGTTTACCCAATTCACTCAGGTGGATACATATAACTCTCTGAGAGGTTGATCCCAATTTATCTAAGCTTTGAATAATTTGCGCAAGAGAAGCTCAGCCGTAAGGTTGGTTGAGGCAACTAGACCCGGGGGTTCAAACAGAGAAGAAACAAGGGATAGAATCCTTCGTCTAGTTAAAAACTTCTCCGAAGCACCAAAGTGAGACCTAAATACATATTGTTTGAAATCCTATTCTAAACCTGGAGCTCGTTGAGTGGTATCATGACTCATTCACATGTTTATCGAAGACTTGTGATTTATGACCCAGTTCAGTATCAGTACATCTATCCTTGTTATTACAATAGTAGACCTAATCCCAGAATTGTAGATTTGTCACTATGTGATTACCTAATTCACAAGATCTTACATGGAAGTTTTATCATTGTCTATACTGACTCGTCCTACGTGACATCAGCAATATGATGTTTAGCGCCTCTCAAGAACACGACTGGACTGGAGATAGGATGATTTACCTAGTGTGAACCAGGATAATTTACGCAAAATCACCACGCCTGCAAAGGTGAGCCGTGACATACTGACCAATTATTACCGCCTTCACCATTACTGATATTCCCTCAGTGTTGAACTTTAAATGTGGATTTTCCCAGTTATCTTATGTACAGTTTCGAGGAACCTGTGGTCAAGACCAACACCGTTATAGACTCTTCCTTAAACACATCGGAAAACAGTTCTTCATTTCTCCTGGGTTGGTTATCTATTTGTTCAATTTGAAACCTCCTCTAGATAATAATTCATTTGTCTGCATCACAAACTTCTTTGCCTGTTCATGGGCAGAAAAGGATATCACATCGTTCGGAGCAACCTGTGCAAACCTAGCGACACAATCAAAAACCACTCTCAGTTTTCCGCTGCTTTTTTGGCTTCTCACTCCATGATTGCTCGATTTTACAGTTGCATGTTACCGAGTCACTGACAATAAGATCGTCTTTGACTAAACTCAAGGTGACAGCGTGATTCAGCGCATGATTGTTAATGCTTGACTGTTTACTTGGAAAGGTTGCTGGAATCCTTGTTGGAAATATATTTTAACACTCAGACATTGAACTCTTGTTTATCAACTATTCTTTTGCTGCTTTAGCACTTTACATTGTGCTAGAGGAGCCTTTGACTGTATAGTAAAGGCTGTACCGTTTGAGATATTTTGTACTTTTGATATAATTCACTTTTCTCAGATTAGAACCGTCTAAAATGAATACTGGTTTGTGTTTTGATACAATTTAATACGAGTCACTATGATAATTAGAAGTATTTGAATTGTAGTATGAACTAGTAATCCCAGGAATAACGCAATTTAATCAAGAAGTATCAGATGAACTCGAACGAATGTATTGTATTTGGAATTCAAAATTACAACAGTCATCAATACTAAGAAGTCATTGATTTATTTAAACATCACATCCGCCACAGCTCGAATTGAAGTGTGCCTGTAATCGATTGTTTGTCTTCTTCTTAAGTTCATCCTACATCTGTCCGATGGTGTATTGAATGTACACTCTGTATTATCTAGAATGCACTCATTAGTATTAGAATTAACAACGGAAATTGGAACAGACTCATCTGGGTTCTAGAATTGTATACAATCAGCATGTCGGTTGTGTAGTGAAACCATTGATATTTAGAATTTGCATCATGGACTTTCCAACAATATCCTCCCCCAGGAAATAATGTTGGGTCCTTGATTCGCAATGTTTTAGCCAATATGACTTTCCCAATTTGCATTATCTCAAATCTTACGCACCGACTACTGTATGTGAGTATTTGGGAATAAACACTGATATATAATTTGAGGTATTCCATCATGTGACTTTGACTTGAATAAAAATCATGATACATATTCTTTTTGTTATTCATATTAGAATACACAGATGGATATACATTGATATCTGCGAAACAATCGGATAGAAAACATTCATCTGCCTCATATTCATTAGGATAATCTTGGACTTGATTTGGATTCTCTGTCTGTGCAAACTTCACTTCTGGGCAAACTGGTTCTCTGGTTGCTTCGGAAAATTTTGCTATCCCCTCTGTATCATTATACCCCTGACTAGGGATTCTATTCAACATGCATTGTTCGTGAGAGTGTCCAACATATGACACAATAACATCAGAAATATGACTAGAATTCAACTCATAAGAAACATATTTTTCACATTCATGAGGAATATCATTAGAGATAAATTCATTATGAGGACCACTGACACTTGATATGATATCAGAATTCGATTCTTCTGAAATATTTTCCTCAAATTAATTAAGAGTTTCATTAGGTAATGGATCATCAGAGAATTCAACATCTACCATGACTGAATTTGGTTTTCGATCATGATTTGACTCATTTAACATTCTATTCTCAGAGTTGTAAGAAATTACATCAGAAGTATGTGAATTATTACGACAAACCATATCTGGCACAATAACATGAGAAATCTGATAAGTTGATTGGTTGAGAATTTTCGCCTCCCAATGACTCTGGGTTTCATTCAACTCTGGACTGTTATATAACGTTATACCTCTTCTAGATAAAGATAACTGATCATTAGAAGCATCCATCTTAGCATTACTTTCAGCGAAATGAACCATGGTATTACAAACTGACTGAATATGTCCAGTTATACCACATTTAAAGCATTTAGAATTACGAAATATACATGAATTACATGGGTGAAACTTGCCGCAGAACATGCATTTACTAAACTTGTGCTCATCATCATGGACTGTTTCACAACTCAATGAAGTATTATCTAAATAAATTTGATTACGCATCGAACTACGACGACTGTTTGAATAAGTGGAATTCCTGATGTTCTGACGAGTCATTTTATCGGATTTTCCTTTCTTACCGCATTCGGAATTTGTATACTTTACATGATCCAACAGAAGTTGCTTGAGAGTTGCATAGGGGAGTGAAATCGGTTTGTCTGGAAGTGCCAAAATCTTTATAAGGCTGTATGCTTCTTTCCCGATGAATGTAAGGAAATGGGCCACAATATTAAAATCCTCATCATCTTCCTTGGTCATAGCCCAGATTTCGAACCTTTCCATGTACTCCTCAAAAGCATTAAAATCTGAATTTATATTTAACCGTTCCATCACAGGCTCAGTCGCGACGCCAATATGATAATTAGAAGTATTTGAATTGTAGTATGAACTAGTAATCCCAGGAATAACGCAATTTAATCAAGAAGTATCAGATGAACTCGAACGAATGTATTGTATTTGGAATTCAAAATTACAACAGTCATCAATACTAAGAAGTCATTGATTTATTTAAACATCACAGTCACTCAAAGACACTTCATACGCTATACAGTAGAACTTAATCTGGTCTAATCGAATAAATTTTGGTTTGTTAGTTCTGCATTCAGTCCTAAATTCTGGAGCTGAATGGGACCAAAGTTTTGTCGTCAGGGTTCATTTCATTCAATAAACACTTCCAATAAACAATCAAAAAGCAGCTTTTGGCAACTGCTCGACGTCACCACATTAGTTTTGCTTGTCAAGAGATTATTACTCGGCACAACATAATAACTAGATAAAATGATCAAAGCATTTCTTAACCTGAATCAAGTAACAAAAATCTAAGCAATGAAGATTGACAGATAACAAAATATGATTTCAGAAGTTATGGGCGAATATTAATGTATGCAAGAAAGACAGGAAAATTCATGAAAAAATAGCAATACTAAGATATAATAAATAGCTAAACAAGACACAATAATTTAGTGACTAGCAGCCTATGATAACTAGGAATTTACGAAATTGTACAGTTTAAGGCAGGTAGAACTAGATGGGGACAACTGGATGTATTATATTTGAGATTTGTATTAAACGCTCATCTAAGTACAAAGGAAATGTAGTGACCGGCCAGTCTCGATAAGAACACGATTGAAATAACAGAAACAATTATTATTATTGTAACCAATTGTACCAGTGAATGTTTTACTGTATTTGTTTAACTGTATCACTTTCACTTCTTGTTTCGCCATCCGCCTTGTTTGGTTCGAACTTGCTCACGCACTGCCCATTTCGCCTGTAACCTTTGACACGTCTTGGTATTATTCCGATACCACGAGATCGTTAATAAATATACTTGATCTGGATTAATAAAGCCTTCTGATTTACGAGTTATCAAAGGAACCAAGTCGTTTTTGGGCGCGTAATCGAATAGTAGTGGTGATCATAGTCCATCCACGACTCGACATCCACTACAGAATCATCATTTAGTACAAATACTATGCAGCAACAGAAGGATAATTATCAACAGGTGTTGTTAAGCCAAAATAACATGCACTGTCACCAGCATTTGAATGTTGTAAGATGTAGTTCTTGGCAAATAATTATCAGAACATTTACCTTATCTCTGTCGCACACCGTATTCGTATTCAACTTCGGCTAACATATGAGCACAGAACCGACGCGATTTCTACATGATTAAAAAATTATCTAGAGTGAAGTTAACCCGACTCTATCGGCGATAATGCTCTCGAAGTTTTCCATTCTGCCACGTCATTCTGGAGACTTACAAACGTGTGCCTCAACCCGAGAATATGGTGGCACATATTTGCTGATGGAGACTTGGGGTTCCCGAGTTTTGTCGATGTTGCCGACCTTTTCTTTATCTAGAAATTCTTTCATACACTCGATAACTTCATTAAACGATGATGGCTGTTCCAGTACGGACCCGAAACTTCTCTTCTCAACTAAAAGTTTCTTGATGCATAGACCTTCAACCATCCACAAACCAATATAAATATGAAGAATCCTGAAGGATTTATTGAGGTATTTATCTGACTAAGAAGTGACAGGAAATTTGTTAATAATCAGGGAACTTTGAGCTGAAATATAAATTAAAATTTGGAATTCCAACTATTTCCAGTGAAACTCCTATCTAATGACGTTTTTAGTTCCCTCTAAATGCACGTTTGAAAATCAAAACACACAATTCTATACTACCTTGTGCTTTCCATGACTTTGAAAAGGGATATAGTGGGGACTGGTCATTTATATTTAGGCTTGGCTTACGTATTGGAGTATCATCATAACTCTCTCAAATTCTTCTCTACTGGACAACTTTTGACCATGCATTATCCTAAAAAATGAAACTGCATCTCAAAATAATACTGTTTATAAAACAAAGGCTCCACAAATGATAGTCGGTATGATAAAACTGAACATATGATTCATTTCATAGTAGTCATAAGATAATAAGGGTAAGGCGAAGATTAAGTAATCACACTTGGTGACCCATAAATACTTTTGAGTGCAAAACAAGGGTATGCTAAAATAGTTTTCGAGAATACAGGCAAATATGTTATTTATTAGTTTATCTAGTTGAAGTCATGAGTCAATTGAAGCTAGACTACGATGAAAAACTTGGAAGCACTGGATGGCTATTTCGTCCTATCGCGGGACTCCTCAGCAGTGTTCATCCCGCTTCGCGAGGTTCGAACACAGGACCTATCAGTTTTGCGCCCGAACGCTTAACCTCTAGACCACTGATCTGGCCGGCATCCAACGGTGTTAATGTCTAACTCCAACCGATCCATTAATTGAGCAACACATCCACCATTGTCTTCAATGAGTTGATATCTCACAACAGACCTGGTTGAACTCCAATGGTCACTATGGGATTCCTCGCGAGGCGGGATCGTGGATACACAGTGTTGAGGAGCCCCACAATCGGATGAAACGGCCGTCCAGTGCTTCCAGGCTTTCCATACTGGTCTAGTTTCAAGTGACTCATAATTTTAACTAGATAAAATTACTAAAATCTCCACAAAACCCTCTTCTGTTAAACATATTTCATTGATAAATAAGAAAAAGTTACATTAATATTGACAAATGGCAATAATAGGAAGTCTTTTCATAACTTGCAATGAACCAGATTCTAATTGTTTTATTATATCCGTATATAATAGAACCCATTCAAGTTGATTAGATAACCATTGTGCTATTCTAATTCGATTCACCTCTTGATCATTTATAGCATATTTTATAATATCCACAACAAAGTCTAAACAATCATAATCTTGATTCATACTACTGTGAATGGATCCATTTGGATCATTAACATAACTGTGAATAGATCCATTTGGATCATTGACATAACTGTGAATAGATCCATTTAGATCATTAACATAACTGTGAATAGATCCATTTAGATTATTAACATAACTGTGAATAGTTTCATTCCATTTGGACGACGTCAGATTCTTACATCCAGTTACTTCGGATACATTGACAATAATTGATTGTTCCCAACCCATAGAATCAATAGATATACCATATTGTTTAGTAAAATGATAAACTTTACCTTCCGAGTCAATGACACCACAATGTAAATTTGAATTAGACTGATAATTTAAAATACTATTACTACTATCCGATAGAATAAATGCAATTTTAGCTATAGGATATGAAGGAAATAGAATGGAAACATGAGCATTAGAGAATGGTAACATGAGCTTGACAACTATTTCATCTTTTAATATGGTACCACATTGTAAACATTTTTCAGGAGATTTACTAAAGGCACACAAGTAGTTCTCATCATTGTCTTCCTTATTGAAACAAGAGTGTTTCACTGCTAAGATCTTACTATGGATCATATTATTCAATGAATGGGTGTTATAGGGTTACTCAATGGTAAACTATATTTGTAACTATGCCAAATATTTATATAAACAACAATAACAAACATCTCAAGGTTGTATGTAGGTGGATTACTTTCAGGAAAGATCGATCAGTCATATGACTTGTAATTATTGAACCAATGGGTGTCAATGTACATCATACAGTACATTTTTTTGTTAGAAGGGGGGTTTTATGAAGATTTTAGTAGTTTTGTATAGTTGAAATCATGAGTCAATTGAAGATAGACTATGATGGAAAACCTGGAAGTATGGGATGGCCGTTTCGTCCTATTGTGGGACTCCTCAGTAGTGTGCATCCACGATCCCCGCCTCGGGAGATTCGAAAACAAGATCTATCCGTTTCGCGCGCGAGCACTTAAAAACTAGACCACTGAACTTGCCGGCATCGAACGGTGTTAATGTCTAACTTCAACCAATCCATGAAGTTGGGCAACCATTCACCAATGTCTTCAGCTAGTTGATATCTCACACCAGACCTGGTTGAACTACACTGGTCACTGCTTCTTACTAGAACTCCAGTGAGCATATGATTTTTTGTTGTTGAATGGATATACAAACAGTTTACTGGACGGTGAAGGTAGTCTAACTGTTCTTTTTAAAGGAAAATGTAATACAATTACTTAGTGAAGTGAGCTCATAATAAATATGTTAAGTTACCTGATAGTATTAATCAACTTCGTTAGTTGGTGAGTTTGGAATCCACAGTTCAGCCGACAGGACAATCCTAACTCTAATAGGACAGGCCAGTATAAACTTAGTGCTTCGATCTTTATCATAAGGGCCTCTGTATCTATGACTAACAAAGATTGTTGTAATTATAGGTAGTTGATTTTTATTATTATTATTTAAACACATAAATATTGGTACAAGGAAGCACCAGATAAATATGCGCCGCACAAATCTCATTCGATTTGTGTGAGGACTGTGATACTGCCCAGGTGTCCAGACTGAAACAGGTTGTTTTCTTAGGGGACCACACCCAGAGCCTTTGACTTAAAGACATGATCCACAAGGCAATGGAGCATTGTAAGGAGATGCAGTCCCATAGTAGCCGGTGACCAACGGTTGATTCATACGCCATTTGTCTCCTCAAGATACTGGAGCCCATACGCACCATTGGTTTGAAATGAGGGTTTTCCAACTGTCCTCGGTGGACTATCCGTGTCCACTGGTGCGGTTAAATCGTCGGACATCCACTTTTCGTTCTCTCAATTTCGTAAACAACACCTGTGGTACGAGAAGGCAGTGAGTAGGACTTCCCTGGCAGAGGATGTATGCGCGTGGTCATGTGAGAGCATTTCGAGAGGGAGGGCGGACTCTCTTCACTCTCAGCCCTACGAGGGCATTTGGGGGCAGGTAGTTGATTAAAATAGCTAATAATTTATCTTGCAGACTGAACAGTGTCTCCACTAAAAGAATAAAAGCTAGTGTAAAACTTAATTAAATTGCTTCTCATGAACAGTGACAATTTATTTCAATGATTGCATTAGATTACATTATAGTGATCGAAATTTCGGCATCAAAGTGTATGGATTGAGGGGTTATGAAAACGGATCTTTTGTTCAGTGTTTGTAATAAGTCTGCGAATTAGAAATCCTTGATCATATGCCTACAGTTCACAAGTGATGCAGCCAGTGAAATACTAATCTAGAGATTATATAGAACATTTAATGCCGGAAAACTAAGAACGGTGTTCTTTTATGGCCCCAATAGTGACACTAGGGCTAAAAGATGAATGGCCTAAGAGGGACACCTCGTTTTGTATCTATCAATTTGACAGGTCTACTGAAGCAAGTTATATTAGAATTTATATTTTTGTACTCATGAACAACTTCCAGGCTGGCTAAGTAAAAGTGTAGTCAAGACAGCAAAAACAGCTCAATACTAGCCCATTCGTAGCAAAGTGATCATAGCACCAGAACTAGTTAAGGGTAAAGTGCTTTTTAGATAGAAACTCATTCGGTCAGGTTGTGACCCATCTAAAAATAGCAAAGATCATGCTTTCGAATGGCTGTTAGAAAATACACAACGTCAAATTTCACTATCTATATTAAAGAAACACAAAAGTTTCAAAAGAATCCTTCATTTATAAGGTAACAACTAGCCAATTTTCAGTAAGAGATTATGGAAATTTATTCAAATATTGAAAATCTAGAAACACTGAACAGCATTTTCGTCCTACCATGGGCCTCCTCAACAATGCACACCCATGACCCTGAAGCCGGGAATCGAACCCAAGCCATTCATTCTTTACTGAACTTAACTGGTCAGATAAATAACACTAAAGTATCGATATTGGCCAGGTCTCATTCCAAAAAAGATTGAACTTATTTCAAAGGCAGCAGAAGATAAATACTTCACTTCTACCTATACGTTATCTGTCATGTCTCCATAGATACAGATTGTGCTAATTAGATGTTTCCGAAATTTTCATCGCTTCATGTATTGTGGAATGACACCTTCAGTTTGGAAGCAAACTATGGAACTTGTTCTTTGATTCTAACTTGATAATACAGTTGTATACAAATCTCTAAAACTAAATGATGAGATTTGTTTGACAGTACAACTGATTCAAGATAAGTGATATATAAGCGAAGTATTTTAAAGTATCTTAGTGTTAGGTGTCTGGGTGATATTTCCACCATTCAAAGCTTTAGTATAAATAGAAAAGGGGAGAATGGGTCTATCTAACAGGAATATCAGGAATTTACGACAATAGCTGAGGCACTGAAATAGTCACTTAAGCAGGCATTTTCAAAGGACATGGTGAAAGAAAATAGATCAAGGTTGAAATGGGAGAATACGCCATTAAACTATAGAAATAAGTAAAAACATATAATTGAGACAACAAATGGATGGGATAAGTAGATCATTTCAATGAAGTAATAATACTTAATGCAACTAATGGGGCAAATAAGTTGTTTGGTATAATCAAACTACTGCTTATTAGTCAGTAGTATAAATTAGTAGAGTAGTAGTAGTAGTAGCTTCAATTGACTCATGATTTCAAATGTGAAAATACTAAATTCTCCACAAAACCCCCTCTGATCTATAATCATATGCTCACTAGTGACTGACTTCAAGAGATATTTCCTTGAGTTCTAGTGGGAAGCAGTGGCCAGTGGAGTTCTACCAGGTCTGTTGTAGAGATATCAGCTCACTGAAGACAATTGGTGAACGGTCGTTCAAAATCGTGAATTGGTTGAAGCTAGACATTAACACCGTTGGATGCCGGCCAGATCAGTGGTCTATCGGTTAAGGGCTTCGGCTCAAGACTGGTAGGTCCTGGGTTCGAATCTCGCGGGTGTGGGATCGTGGATACACACTGCTGAGGAGTCATGACTCATGGTTTCAACTGTGATAAATACTAAATTAGTATTCACAAAAATTACAGAAAAAGAAATATTCAAAATGAAATATGAAAAAATTTAAAATGTCGAATCAGAGAGAATTATCCTAATTTTGTTTCAGGTTTTGATGTGTTCATGGGAAATATTCAACAATGAAGTTAGTTTTGTCATTCGTTCAATCATTGTGATCAGAAGTATGGAAACTATTGTTCGTAAGTGGTTACCATGAGAACAAGACAAAACATATACATCTTAGAGTTGATGTTCATTCGGAAACTCTAACCGATTACCATTAGCTTCTAATGCTATCTCCTTATCCATTTTCCTAATAAGTCCAGATAGTAACTAGCTTGTACAATGGAGGTGAAGTTTAAATTTACTTGGTATTGTCCACTTGAATCTTCCCATCGATTTGTTAGGACTGCAACTGGTCAGTCTCTAATTGGCATATGTGCATACTGTGAGTATTACCTCGACATAGCCTTAATTCGCAAGCATGGTAAGCAAAGATGGATAGTGGCTAGTAGTGGAATCCAGTTTGAGACGCGTCACTTCATCCCTTTTGAGACTCATCAGCTAGGTGAACCTACATCTCAGTGTTGATATTCACTCCAAAACTGTAACCTATTACCGTTCTCTTTAAACTCTATCACTTTATTCACTTAGCTACAGAGTCCATATGGTAACTAGATTGTACAATAAGGGGGGAGGGGAGAAGTTTTAATTCATTTTTTTTTATTGTTTGTTTGTTTACTTGAAGGAAAATTTATGTTTTTTTCCCAACAAAACTATTAATTGAAGTCTATTTTCTGTTTTGTCATTAAAATTGTGTCGGACACTTTTAAATTTCGCAGAAGAAAAAAGTGAAAATGTTTAAGTTACAATATCAAAAAGAGCAATAAAAACACCGCAGAGGGAATGAATGAAGGAAGGACGATAGAAGTCATGACAACTCAATGTTTATGGATGAGTATCAAGAAGGATATAAGAAAATCAAACAAGGAAGTAGATATTAATAACAATCTATTAAAAAAGTGATGATAATCATGATTGGATTATAAATTGAATGTTGATCAGAAAAGGGGTTTTGTGGAGATTTCAGTATTTTCATAGTTGAAATCATGAATCAATTGAAGCTAGACAATCATGGAAAACCTGGAATCACTCGACAGCCGTTTTGTCATATTGTGGGACTTCTCAACAGTGCACATCCACGATCCCACACTCGCGAGAATCGAACATTAACACCGTTGCGTGCCGGCTCAGTGGTCTATCGGTTAAGTGAGTCTGGTAGGTCCTGGGTTCGAATTTTGTGAGGAGCAATCGTGGATGCACACTGCTGAGGAATCTCATAATAGGATGAAACGGCCGTCCAATGCTTCCAGGTTTTCCATGGTGGTCTAGCTTCAATCCACTCATGATTTCAACTATGAAAATTGAATATTGTATGAATATGAAACAATTAATGTGGTATGAGCTACTTATATCCATATAAGTAGTATATAAATGATGGTCGGGCTTTAAATGTATTTCAGTAGAAGATCGATAAGGAGAGAACGAGAACGGGACGCAGTTGATATGAAAATGCATGGGCCATAATAATCG